GACAGCCTGGGGTGCGCATGAAAGGGTCAGGCTCAGCATGAATTGAGAACTAGCTTCCTCAGCACAAATGTCACAATATTCTCCTAGCCAGCAGCATATCAACATCAGCTTGCATAAATGCACGGCAGCTAATGAGATTTCGAACGCAGGGAGATTCTCAGCAAGAAATTATATGTTATGACACACATGAATCCTCACGGTTCATGGCAGACTTTCGCTCAGCAGTAGGTCACCGAAGCAACGGAAGTCGACATGGGGGTTTGGTGGGCTTCACAAGTGTTATCGAGCAGCGGCTAGCGCCGGTTCTGGCCGTCAAACAAACGGAGCCAGCACGCACGAGCCCTTTTCGGTTAACCCCATCTCGTTACCATTAGCCGCTTCCCACTCCCACCATTGCGAGGCGTGCCGGACAAAAAAAACAAGCACTAGATCGCATTACTGTGCACCGAAAATTGCCTATCCATCCGCCGGCGCGCGCACGCACAAAGCCCCGTCGACGGTAAGGTACAGTTTTTGTTTATTTTCTTCAAGCTCTGCAATTCTGCCGAAGAACTTCTGTTCCGTACCGGACGGTTTCCACCGGTTACGGGACGGCGGGCGTGGACATGCGGAAACATTTTCGCTGCCAAATAAGAATATATAGCCAGACATTTTGTTTTGCGAGGGAATTACGTTTCAGATGCCGCCCGCAGAAAATTATTAAAAACAACACCTGATGACTAGTTTTGTTTTCTGCAGCGGCAATTTGTGACGCCTACTTTCCTGAAAATGTAGCAGTTTCAAAAGTTTTAATGGAATCACCATGCAAATCAGCTTTGAAGCCACACTACTTCAAAAGCAGCTCAAACCTTTATTTTTTTTTTTTTGATTTTTTTGTTTTTTTTTTTTTTTTTTTTTTTTGGAGAGTCCGCACCTCTGAAGAAAAACTGACGTCATCTTGGTTTGGTTAACGCATTCTCTCCCTCTCTCTCGACAGAACCCAAATCATTCCATGTTGGACTGCTACAAGTATTTGCGTTTGCTCTTTGCTCAGTCTAACCCACACAAACAATGTGTGTACCCAATGTGCTGCTGTTATTAAACAAACTCGCTGCCTGCCACTAGTGAGAGTTACGGACTACTAAACGCACGTCCAACTATTACATCTAAAACACCAGATCCTGTCATTGAAAGTACGGCCTTTACATTACTGCAAGCTTTGTGGAAACTATAACGTAATTTACAATTTATAATTCCTTCTAATAATCAATTAAATAATCATGCAGGGAATTTCAAACGTAGATTAACCCATTTGACGGATTCGAACTGAAAATTATCATGAAGAATTCACTATCAATCAAGAAAATCCATGATAATCTAGACAATCAAATTACTTGTATCTATTCATCAGTTCTGCTGATAGAAAAAAACGTCTAGCCTACCCAAAAACTCTGAGGGCGATCTCCCCTGCGTTTTCTTGTTTGCTGCATCGGACACCCTAACCAGATGAACACTCAATCTACATCGGAGAACATGCACGCGGCTTTTTGCTGTGGAGCCAAGTGCATACATGTGGTGAGGGAAGTAGAATTCTTTTATATAGAACGCACACTAGAACATTATGCATCACATCAAGAACTAGCCAGAGGGCACTCACGGAGAAGCTGCATACCTCCGCCAGCTCGCGTCGCTCGCTCGTTGCTGCTGCTCGCATCACAGGACCTCGTGGCTGCGTGCTAACACACCTAACACCACGAAACACACACAGAGCCGATCCACATAACCTCCTCCAACTCCGTTGGCGGAGGTAAACTTATGCCAAACAAACGAACTATGAGAATTGGCAAGTATTGAAGGAGAAAAGTCTTGCATTTAGGTGCTCTGGCAAAATTCAGTTCAACCTCAGAACCCTACCTACTGGCTGACTGACAGTTTTAATGGTCAGGTGACAGTATAGTCTTACTACATTAGCCAGCATTCTGTTCACCACGCACGCACACAGACCATGAATTTCGCACGTATGATATGCGCCCAACTGCCAGTTTTGTCAAGCTGCTATTTGAGTGTTTATTTCAATTTAGAACAACATGACAATTTAACAACATTAAAAAACAGTTCATAGGTGTAGGAATTATTGCCAGTTAAATATTGTTCAAATTAGGCAACAACAAGAACAACAAAAAACCATTGCGACTCAATATTAAAGTGATTACGTCACCGTAAATAGTAAAAAATAACGTAATTCCTTTTCACCAGTCTTTTATGGTTAAATTGCTGCCCATTACTACTTCCTATTTTACTCTATATTGTTCGATGTGAACATACACCCGTGACTCATACATAGCCCATAGCAAGCAATTAATGTTGAGAAAATTAATTCAAATCGTCCAGGTTTTTTGGATTTTTAACTAGTTGAGAAACAATCTTATCAGGTAAGAATTTGACGATTTTAGTCCAGTTAGTTCTTACTTAATGATAAAAAAAACCATAAAAAATTTCGTGACGTAGTCCCCCCTTAACACTAAAAAAATAATATTAAATAGTTTAAAAACCAGTGAGGAAATTTCTCTTGCAATGCGTGTTTGCCAATACACACATGCGCTGCCAGCAAGCATCGACTGCATTTCCACATGCTAAGCAGCAAGGACTCTGATGACAAGAGTGAAGGTGAGAGACTTACGCGGAAGAGCCGCTCCTACCGTATGGATCGTAGTGGATTTCTTCGCGCTCCCTCCGAAGCGCGGCGCGTAGTCTGAAGCGCCGGCGCTCCGCTGTAATCTCGCCACCGTAAGCCGCCCGACTCGCGGGAGTAGCTGCCGGATCCGCCACCGTAGTCGCTAGCTCTTGCCTCGCTGCTGCCGTGGTAACCGCCCACCGCCGCGCCGTAGCTTCGCGCGACGACGGCCCTACTAAACGCAAACGAAAAACACGAATACACGTCACGACGAATCACTTGCGAGCGTTCTATTGCGAAACTGACATCACTAAACAAGAGTACGTGCCTTTGCTGACATTTATATCACGTTCATATAAAAAAAAAAAAACGTAGAACGTATATAACGTATGCAGCTGATGTTTTTAGGCGTATATATGGTACACAGGCTGATTTTTTTGCCATGGAATTGTCTAGATTAACAAATTTATTTTTTTTCTTCGTGTTTTCTTTTGTATCTTTTGTGTAATGCCACACAACTTCCAACCACATTCATGAAGCAATACAGGAAAAGCATCAGAGATCTTGGGGATAGACCATCTACATTATATGTATCTATCTATAAGGTTCTCATCATAAGCATACTCAAAAATTCAATTTCAAGCACAATATAAAGTTCAGGTTTCCTGGCACAGAAATCAGTTAACATACATGTTCAAATTTTTGTCCGACAATTTGTGTTACAAATACCAAGGTGTTAGCATAAACAACCACCTTATCTTCCGAAAAACTTCTTTCATAAGAGACCAGGAAATTCACACCGGAAATACACGTTAATGAACTTTGCAGAACTGACAAGCCAACCAACTCACCACTGCTCCCATAACACTCGAGCCTCCTCCGTTATGATTGTCTCTAGCCGGGAGCCGATTCGTGAACTGTCGGTATCGCGCCCCCCGGACGGCGCCCGTAGGAACTGCTGCCTCGATCCGCCGACGTCCTCGATCCCCCGAAATCTCTGGATCGCACAACAGTCCCTGGGCTCCAAAGTCCCGGGGATTCCGCTGGCCACCGTAGCTGTCGGAGCTGGCGCCTACCGGTAGTTGTCCTGCCCCGATCGTACGCTGTCGGCGGCTGCCACCTACACAGCAAACACGCAAACACTTATAGTGAATGGCCGGTCAACGCTCGATGAGACACGATGCCTGCTCGACGATAGAGCGATGCTCACGCGACGCCGTCTCTAACCTAATAAGCAAGACACTTGGCGCAGCTCTTACTGCCGTTGATAATATTAAGACTTTACCATAAGATCTAACATAACCGTTATCCTGGTACCACGCCCGATGAGCGATCGAATCGCTGTTATCCCACCTGATAACATTCACAAAACAGTACTCAGCACACATGCAGGTCCTTCGTACGTCGTTGTCCGGCAACCTGTGGTTAGACCTTATACGCTACTAGAACCACCTAACCACTGCATGCTACAAAGATAAGCAGGCAATATATATCATAGGCATATATATATATATGTTATGTACTTGTCTTTTGCATGCACGTGGGGGTGGACTAATCATAAACAAGTGCCGCAGAGCGAACAGAACCGCTCATCTAAACGTCTATCTCTTCCTGCGCTGACTGGCTCCGTGTCATGGCAATATGTCGTCTCTGAGCCTCCGTGCACCCCTTACTTTTTTGTAGGTAAAACCAGTTCACGGCCCTAGTCGTATCCGTCGCCCCCACGTCCAGTCTACTTCTATAGACACGCCGCCACAAACAGCCGCCACCCCTTCCCGCTTCCGGTCGCCCGGGTTTAACCCCGGCCTTGCTCTCGACTGCCCTCGCCTCAGACTGCTCTTTATTGTCTACACTACTTTCACAGCCGTATCTATTCTTTACAATAATCACTACCTTATCCTCCGTCCCCCTACAATGTGCGCATCCCCCCGCTCCCTCGCCCTAAAGGCTGCTCTCCACCGCTCCAAAGCTCTTCCTACTCATCATGGACGGATCGACACACTGACCCAGAGTCCCCCACACGCGCTCTCACACCCACAGACGTGCTCGCTCCCGTTTCGCACCCTGCTCGCGCACAAGGCCTCTTCCACTTCCGCTCATCACCACCTGAGCACAAGTAAACCCGTCAGCGGCACCGCGACACGCAACCCTAGGCCTACCACTTCCATGGCTGCCTCCGGCCCATCCCACTGTCATGTAGACCCTTACCCTGCTCCTTCGGTTACCTATCGCTCTTCTGTGTACGACCGCCTTATCCACCTTGGTATCCGACTGCGACAAATTTTTGGGACTACAGGGTTTTCACTAGAATTCGCCACCCACTCCACACGGACGAAGTCATCACCGAGCGAGGAATACCGGGTTTATCAAGGAGACGCTTCTCAAAGAATGTTCAGCGTATGGCGCGAGTGCCCGGCCCGCTTATGAAAGTTGCACGAGTTGGGCCCAACGGCGGTGTATCGGTAAAATCACCAGTGTCTCAGATATAAAGATGGACAGCTCCCATCATACCGTAGTACAACAACTAATTGCAAGACAGAATAGGCTAAGCACGCTCATCCATTTAACCTACGCAAGCCATACAGGCCTGGCAAATTGCCAATAAGAGAGCTGCCACTGTAACAAATTAACGCAGGCAAAAACTGCACCAACACATGCACTGAGCAGGCAGCCACTTGCAGTGGCATACGTTACATGTAACAGGACTGACAGTACAGAATGACATAGAAATATAATGATTTAAAGGAACATACACCTTCTTTAACCAGAATTTAGCTTTTGAAATTCACTGTGACAATGGTAGCCTCATACATCAGGCTCATGTATAGATTCTACTAGGCAAAACCCGGCAGTCAAATTCTTTCTAACAGACAGTCAACAAATCCAAGTTTAAACCCTCCTCTTTGCAGGGTCAAAAGGTTTATCCGACACTTACTCTTCGCATCGTCAGCAGAAGGGACATGCATGGTCCTTGCAAAAAGCCATAAAAATGCTAGGTCACCGCTGTGAAACAAAAAAGTTTTTCAATCGCTCCTCAGACCATGTCCTTCAGAAAAATGTCTAAAAAATCTGCCCTGTGCCCTATTGACCTTGGACCTGTGACCTCCAATTTCGGCACAGTGATGGCTTTTCCTACCATGATGCTATATACACCGGACTATCACGAGCCTAGGTCGAGCGAGCCGTTTAGATTTGTGCCGCAATTCTGCATTTCCTCCCGATACCTTAAGTTAAGGAGAGAATGTTCCCCCTTCTTTTACACCTCTTGACCTTTGACCTTTGACCCCCAGCTTCGACATCCCAACTCGTTTTGACGATCCCCCCCAACGACCCGAATATCGTGACCGTACGTCGAGCGGTTAAGATTTGTGCCCAACTGTTGACGGACGGACGGACGACCGGACGATCATGCGATTCTACAAGCTGCATCTGACTGTCTGATCTGATGTCAGATGAGCTAACAACTACACCTAATTTCAAACATGTGGGTCAAACGGTCAACAGGTGGACGGACGGACGTACGACGACCCATGGCAATAGCTCAACTTGACTATGTCAAGATGAGCTAAAAACCTTGATCGTGGGATCTCGTTTTATATTAGCTACCTTAACAATGTTATATACCAACCAAAAACTTTACCTATACACAGGGTAGACACATTGCCAAATGTACTTAGGCCAAAACAAAATATAGTTGTGGTTACCGTTTCCCGACCGACCCTATTTATTCCCAGCGACCCTAAACATATTATTGTCAATTTTCTTTAAAGAAAAAAAAAAAGAAAAAATATATGAATTGGACAGTTCCTGCTTCAACAGGCACAACGCACATCCTTCGGACATGGTTCGTAAATAAAATGTTTCAATAAAATATGTTTTCCCTACCTACCTACCCTATTTTTTCCCCCGGCATGAAACGGTAACCAAATCTATATTTTGTTTTGACCTTAAAGCTGCTCTAGGCCCGTTTTTATAAATTTCCTTGAACTTTCTAAACCTTATATCTCAAAAGTTCCCAGCTTATATAACGAAGTATACACCTCAACACCAAACTTTTCATTAAAATTCATTAAAAAAAAAAGTTTTATGAATCAAGGTCTTCACGCCTGATACGGCTTCACCAGCAGAGATCTTAATTAATTAGATTAACTCGACATTAAAACACGATTGATTAAAATGGTGAGATTGCACACTGTAGAAGGTGATGCTATTGAAATGATCTCATGCCATAAGATGACACCACGGCACATTAGATTTTAAAAGCTTAGAACGTTCATAAACGACATGGAGTGGCTTCAAAATACAATAGTTGAAGATGTCCTGCAGATCATAAACTATAGTTAGCTAATAATTTAGGAGGCAGTACTTTAGACATGTCTCGCGTTTGGAATGGACGGAAGAAGGCAATTGCACGGAAATACACACGTTCGAATAATCAGCGCCTTTCTCCTAACGTTGGAGATGGTAAACTATTAAATGTCGCCAACGACCTGGAGAACCTGCTGCACAAATAAATCGTTTCAACGCAAACGTCTCACGGCCGGAGATTCGTCCACAATCTGAACCACGTCACTTACCATGTGGTCTATCATAACTCGGAGCGTCGTACCTGTGTGGAAGCGACCGATCGCCATATCCACCTTAAAACAATCAAACAAACAAAAAGAGAAAGAAAAAATGTAGAAAGTCAGACAGACAAGTGAAGTTCTTGAATTTTCTACATCGAGTTCGCAGCCACACCTGATGAGAAAATCCATCGTTAGGCATGCGAATATCCATCTTAACAACAGCTCCTCCTACTACAGGAGGGCAATCTTTACGGATATCCATCGCTGCATTCCACCAACCTGCGCACGCACGCTACTAGCTAGTACTATCGGTTATCGCCTTACCAGGTCCACCACGGTACGAATCTCTGTCATAGCTGCTACCGCCATAACCATCTCGTCCACGAGACAGCCGGATCAGACACATAAAGGCTTTACCAGTACTTCGACACCAGAACGACCTCTAAACACAAGGGGAAGCAGAACTCGCTGCTCTAGACGTCGTTCGACCCGCGCGCGAGCTCTCTACGGAGACAAACCTCTGTCCGGCGGTCCGCCGCGTCCTCCTCTCGACGACCCTCTGCTGCTGAATCCTCCCCGTCCTCCTCCTCCCCCGCGGTCGCTGAACCCGCCGCGGCTCGAGAAACTGCCGCGACTGCCGCGGCTGGAGCGGTCGCTGCTGAACCCACCGCGGCTCACACGGTCGTTGAAGCCACCGCTGTCCCTGCCGCGACTCCCGCCGTAGTCGCCGCGCCCGCGGAATCCTCCCCGGCCTCCGCGATCTGCCGACGGGAAAAACAGACGCGTTGCAGACGCAGATTTTTGATCTTCTCGTTTTTTCCCCCCTGTCAGCTCCAAGGAAAACTTTTGTAATAGCATACATATAGGAATTTTTTGATGTCCATATCATAACCAATGGCCTAACTTTAGCACTTGAGGTGAAATTCTAAGGTTAACTAGGAAGCAGAGTTTATCTAGGCCATTGGCCAAGGTGGCAAAATCAGTCTAGAAAATGACTTTCGTTTGACACTTCAT